ACTGTGAACGAAAAGCTGAGGCCGCGGAAGCTGCTGTGGTTGCTTAAAAAATCGTAAATTTGATTTCGAGATTTCTTTTGAGGGACTTTTGATTTAAGGGGCTTCTAGCTTAAAGGCGTAATGCAGACAGAATGGTGGATACCGCATTTGCATAATAAAAACAATAATAATTTATTATTAATTATTTTAAGCTTTAGCTGTTATTAAAATTTGCATTTTTAATTTATTTACTAATGCTAGATCTCGACTTAGCAGATTTTACTTACTATATGCCGAGACTGGTCAAGAATAAATCTTTTTAGTCAAATATAAAAACTTCAACCGGCTTTAGTTTTTCAACTGGATGGAATCTAGTATTAGGTGTAGAGAAAAACGATGGGAATTCAAAGTGTTCTTAAAAAGTCTCGATATCGCAAGTGTATATTATAAATGCGAATTATCGAGTCCGATAAATAAAATAAATTAATTACGAAAAGGGTTTTTTTTTTTTTTTGGTCAGGAGGAAATCGCCGGACTTCCGCCCTCCACTGGGGATAGAGGGCGGAGCATGTCAGAGTCGAACTGACTAAAACCTCCTGTCGCTCAACAACCAACGTCCAAACCTCGCATGAGACAGAACTCATGAAGGGGCAAAGGGGGGAAAGTGAAGCGTTTAGTGCGGAGCACATCTCTCCCATCACCCTCCCCCTCGGGACGCCGGACCGGCGGTCGTCGGCGCCACGACCACCAGCCTAGACAGATTTCTCTGATGCTAACATCTTGCCCGCAGTCTTTAGTCGATTCGTGTTATCTGCTCTTTGCAACAACGCTGAAATATCCGGATCTCGTTAATGTAGACATCGTAGTTGGAAACTGTTAAATGATAGTGTTTGTAATATTTATATATTAATACGTGAAGCAAAAACTTTGTATCCCTTTTTACGAGAATTGCGCGGACGGAGGAGTATGAAATTTTTCACACTTATAGAGAATGTAGAGAAGAAGTGCACAATGCTAATATTTTTATAAAATAATGCATAAAAGATACATTAAATCAATAAAGAAAACATTACATACACTACATACCATGTATTTGGCGTACACACGCATGCATACTATTTATTGTCAAACTTTTGTTCTTGACGTCTGTTGTCAAATTGAGAATAGAATAAATATTGTTTGCCTTTGTTAATATTTTTTATAGTGTAGCCTTGGCAAAATTTGTGATTATAGAAGTATAAAATACAATCATAATAGTGTACAAACTTACAATTCCAATTAATTATAGTCGAATTTCGATTAAATGTTTCTTTTATGCATTATTTAAAAAAAAATATGAGCATTGTGAACTTCGTCTCTATATTCTCTATAAGTGTGGAAAATTTCTTACTCCTCCGTCCCTGCAATTTTCGTAAAAAGGGATAAAAAAGTTTTTGCTTTACGTATTAATATATAAATAATTAAGACAGCATGTTTCATTGTGGGTGGTTTCATTCACTTTGTCAGGTTAACGTGAACAACATTGTGACCTCGCTCCTCATCCACGCTCATCATAATAAACATTAGCTAGACTCATTTCAGAATTATTCAAATAACCGTTCATTTTGATTGGCTGTTCTGTTGAAATTTTCAATTATTATTATTTCCGGTTCGTTGACCTTTTCCCCTTTGTGATAGCTGCGATGTTTAGTTTACTATCGAAATGGAAACTGTAATAGACAATGTTGATATTGTACGTTTATTTTATCCTTCTGTGCGTGGTTGAATTTGCATTGAATAATCAACGATAGTTCGGATACAGAGTAGATTCTTAATTTATTTATGTCAGTTTTACAATACAACGTAGAAGACCGTAGTTGCCAGTGACCAGGAAAGCTCTAAGGTATTGGGAATGTCACAAATAATATAATGACTAAAACTCGAGGCTGAGCCGTAAAAGTGCTTTTTTTATTGCTTAGTTGAGTGGACGGGCTCACAGCCAACGTGGTGTTAAGTGGTGACTGGAGTCCATAGATATCGTAACGCGGACTCACAAGAGGTCCTAGTTAGTTTATTACTGGTGGTAGGACCTTTTGTGAGTCCGGACGGGTAGGTACCACCGCCTTGCCTATTTCTGCCGTGAAGCAGTAATGCGTTTCGGTTTGAAGGGTGGGGCAGCCGTTGCAACTATACTGAGGCCTTAGAACTTATATCTCAAGGTGGGTGGCGCATTTACGTTGTAGATGTCTATGGGCACCAGTAACCACTTAACATCAGGTGGGCTTTGAGCTCGTCCACCCATCTAAGCCAAAAAAAAAAAACAAATAAACGTGTGGCACTCGGGAACTGCCGCGGTAAAGCTATTGCATAGCATTTTTTATCAACTTATGCAATTAATAATCGACAATAATAATTTAATGTTAAAACAACAATAAAATAAGACCACACTATATTTATAAACATTAACAAAAGCAAAACGTCAACTGTCCCCTTAACATTCATAACCTAGACCGCGCGAGGGAGAGATGGGCAGACTTTTCATTATATGCATGCGGCAGTGCAACGTCACGCCGCGCGCTTATTCACAAACACTACACAAGCGCAACGTGTGAATGTGTTGAACGCGAGCTACATAGTAGGCGTAGTGGGGGTGTCAGGTTATTTTCGTTACGGAATTTCTTGATTCAGTCACCGCGTTCAAAGCCCTCGATAGAAGCTATGCAATAGCTTAAAAACAAAATTTATCCAATATTTTCCGGCTCAAAGTATGGACTGACTAGACTGGAAAGTGAAGACTGGAATACGATCTACGATCTCACGTCTCATGCTGTGATGTCTAATCCTAATCTCTTAAAATCCGTGAAAAACTGAGTTCTTTCACTCTTCGAGTACAATAATAATTAGATTACAATAGATTTATAAATTTGCGAGGTTCGAGGTTTTAAGTTAATTTCAATTTCATTTCTTCTTAATGGCAATCAATCGAAAACTCATGTTAAATCTCGTTAAAATTATTTTCAAAAATTTAATTTAATTATGATTTAATTCTAAATGATTTAACTAAGTAAGTACGAGACGAAATTACTAAATTGTAAGCAGCGAAATTTCAAAGCCCAAAACTTACGGAACTCGGGAAAGTTTCATACAATATAATAATTGTTCGTTACAGAGTACAAATCTCTCAATCAAAACTAACTCTGTGTACATAGATCTATGTAAGGGTATACGTATATAAAAAAAATGTTTTGAAAATTACGAGGTAGATACATTTATACTTACATCGGCTCTTTCAAAATCTTTTTTTTTGCTTAGTTGGGTCGAGGAGCTCACAGCCCGCCTAGTGCTAAGTGGTTACTGGAGCCCATAGACATCTACAACGTAAATGCGCCACCCACACTGAGATATAAGTTCTAAGGTCCCAATATAGTTACAACGGCTGCCCCACCCTTCAAACCGAAACGTATTACTGCTTCACGGCAGAAATAGGCAGGGCGGTGGTACCTACCCGTGCGGACTCACAAGAGGTCCTACCACCAGTAACCAGTTTTATATTTCACAATTAGCTGTTGGAATACCGAAGCGGGACCAAGTTTCATTGTTTTATCATAAATTGATTGAAAAAGCGAAATGCGTTAGCGTCCTAAAAGTTCGTGAAAAAATATCCGTGTAATCGAATCAAAGTAATACGACCATGTCGTTCAAATCCCATAAGCGGGTACTAATTTTTCCAACAGATACATAGTTAATTTTAGTTCACGAGCGAACATGAGAGGATATCATAATCGCGCCTATTTCTGACATGAATTAACTATTATTGCTCTTGGTTGTTAGGGTGTAACAGCCGTTACAAACCACTCCGAATTTCAAACTTTTTTCTCAAGTTGTATGGCTGAATTCACCTTGTTATAATATCATTTGAAAACAATATCACGTAGATCTTGTTTGCCACTATAGCAATTATAATATTCTGGAATATAAATTTAATATCTCTAATAATATAGTTTCTCAATTTTAAGTTCCCTGTTATGTATATTTTAAGGTGAAACAATATAATTCTAATTATGAGAGCGTTAATTAATTCGTCCGAAATTATTCTATTTAAGATGAAAAAGTTGGTGATCCCTCTTGATTTCATTGTAAAACGTAGTTGGACTAACATAATTGTTTTAATTTAAGCGAATTTTCAATCATAGGAGTTTGAAGGCAAGAGTAATTACGTAAGTAAATAAATAATTAACTGGTTCATTAAATTAATTACGTATAAAAAACACAGGAAGTATTTATTAGACCAGTGTCGATAATTTTTAAAACCAAAAAAAATAATAGTAGGATGAAACCCATTAGAAAAGGAGGGGAATATTATAAAAATGAAAGGAAAAATAATTTACGGGCGATCTGAGGTCGGGAGGGGGGGTTTAAGGGTAAAAAACGGTCCATAGGACTTTTAGTTTTAAAAACCGTTTTTTACCCTTAAGCCCCCCCCCCCAACTCTAATGGGTTTCATCCTACTATTATTTTTTTCACTTCTTATTATTTTTAAAGGCTTCTACCCTGGTCTATATCTGCAAGAGTTTTGTAAAGTTTTGTAGTGTTTTTTATTTTCGTAAATTTATCGTATCTCGCATCGCGTAGCCTTTTTTAATTATGCGACCAGCTAATAGATTGATTCATGAATTCTCGGTGGAACGTGGAACGATTGTTAAGAATAGTCTTGATCCATCATCGTATTTTGATAAATGATACATGATGATAAAATACATTTATCACATCACGTATAAAAATAATAAATTTATACGATAATCCTTACAATCCCCAATCGTTTACTAGATAAAGTCCTCGAATACTTGTAACTATGATTGACTTGAGATCTTAGAACTTGTATCTCAAGGTGGTTGGCGCATTTACGTTGTAGATGTCTATGGGCTCCAGTAACTGTGAGCTGTGGGCTGTGAGCTCGTCCACCCAACTAAACAATAAAAAAAATACATAAGCTATACAAAAACAAAATAATAATAAATAAAAACACATTCTTCTTGTTTCAGATCCGACTGGAAACGCGAATAGGCGAATTAATAGCTAGTGACAAGTGTGAAAGTCCATATGTGAATATATATTAGTTTTTAATGTTAGTTAGAGAAAAATACCGAAATGCATATAGCAGTGGGCGTTCAAAGGACTCTGCTCGCTTTCGTTCTACTGGCTCTGAGTAATTCGCCTTCAGCCACGCAAAACACTTTTATCACTGGTAAGTATTATGTATAAGTATTTAATTTTATTTTCCTGATTTCGGTCTTATTTAAAACTAGCTGACCCGGCAGACTTCGTAGTGTCTCAAGCGATAAATAAAAGACCTAAGTTTTGTATAAAATAAACTTAAAACAAACAAAAGGAGTCCGTCCGACGGAGTACACATCAAAGGAAAAACAAAATTGTTAGTTTTATTAAATTCCGAGCGTTTTCATATTTACCTACCTTTCAAACTTTCTTTGGACTTCCGCAAATAATTCGAGACCAAAATTAGCCAAATCGGTCCAGCCGTTCTCGAGTTTTAGCGAGAATAACGAACAGCAATTCATTTTTATATACATAGATATAGTGTAAAATACATACATATTGCTGAAATCCATGGGCGACGGTAGCCACTCACGATCAGGAGGGCCATATGTTCGTCTGCCTAAAAGAGCAATTGAAAAAAAATTACAGTTCACTGGTTTCGTCGAAGATTTCATTAATCGTAACGAATGTTTTAGATTAGTGTTTTAGAGTGAAAAATTACTTAATAGAATAAACTTTGAAAGTACGTCTCAACTGGATTATCAAATACGTATAAAGCAAACATTACACCGCGAGCCCGTCCTGTCTATTTACATTAGTTATGATTCAGCAATAATATAATAATAGTTATGAGTCGCTCATGTTTCGGGAGTATCGTGATGGTAAAGTCGATTTTCGCAATCACAACAACATGAACGAAATCAATAAGCTTCTACGAAAAAACAAAATGTATGCACACCACACTTTTATCATTGATTTATTGTTGAAAACCACGCAGTGGTCATACGAATCGAATGCAAAATAAATATTCGAATTTTTGACAGATATCTGCCCAGCCAAATTATCCAGATTAATGCGAGAAACGCATTAATGACTACATTAACGTGATGAATGCCGATACCAACAGTGACTCGAGTTAGGAAACTAGAGCAGAATTTAGAGTAACAAAACTTGCCCTAGACACGTCCTTACGGATCCATCAGATCCAATAACCTTTGCATTAGACGCCTTCAGCTCTAATACTAGGAGCAGGCTTAGGGACCCCGGTAACCGTACTCGTCGAACTCGACAAAGAGTTCGCCGTGCAACCTAACCCATGAATCAGCTCGCTGAGTTTCTCGCCGGATCTTCTCAGCGGGTCGCGATTCCAATCCGGTAGTAGATTCATTCGCGAAGCAGCTGCTCTTGAGCTGTTAGGTCTCCTTCGGAGGCGTTCGGGTAGCTGTTAGCAAATCCCACCCCTCCTGGCTGAGCCTTTGCTCGCCCACCTGTCCTGGTGAAACTGGAAAGGCCTTCGGGCCACCAGTAATCCTACAATCATAAAAAAAAAGTGACAAAACAAAAAACGAACATAAACAATCCATTTGAATCGAAACATGAATCGCCAGCAAAAAATTTGAACTTCCCAAACTTTGACAAACAAATATAAACAAAAAAAAACGACAGAGCTAACCGCAGCCCGCGGAATGATACACAAAATTAGCATTCCGAAACACGCTCGCAACATATGTTCGTATGTAAAGTTATTAATATCAGTAGACAGTATTCATATATTAAAACATAATGCGGCAGTAACAGGGAGGGTATGAAGGAAGGCACAGAATTCTAATGAGACGCCCGCGGACGTGTGTGAGTTTCGACCATCCATCGGAACTTGTATTAATCGTTGTTTTCGTGTTTTGTATTAGAAAACTTGCCTTTGTTGGATACCAGAACGTTTCTGTATATAAAATTAAATTTTGAGGCGAGAGGCCCTTTGTGTTGGTTGAGGCGTAATCCAGACCCGACCCATATATTGTTTCTATCGCATAATGATTGAATCCTGCGCCAGGTACCAATTATTTAAGTAAATGCACAACTTTTGGAACGTTTGGAACTTTTAACCTAGGAAGATACTTCTGGTCGTTGTGTTTTATACCATATTATTTTCTACTGGTGGTAGGACCACTCATGAGTCCGCACGGTACCACCACCCAGCCTATTTCTGCCGTGAAGCAGTAATGCGTTTCGGCTTGAAGAGTGGGGCAGCCGTTGTAGCTATACTGAGACCTTAGAACTAGTCTCAAGGTGGGTGGCAGCATTTACGTTGTAGATGTCTATGGGTAACCACTTAACACCAGGTGGGCCGTGAGCTCGTCCACCAATCAAAGCAATAAAAAGAAGAACACAAAAAATATATATTTAAAGTGGTGCTTTGAAGATCTGTTTGCTATGATCTCATCATGTTTTTTTCCATTATACTGCCTACCTCTGCAGCAGAGTGCACTCTTATTGCCTGGAATCACATTGTTTATCCACATTGTGTTTCAGAGAAATATATTATTATCATCCACGTACTATCCGAATCTCGAATGAATCTTCCCTCACGGTGTTTCCTAGGCTCTATGATGAGTATTTCTCCAAATAAGGTTTTTGGAGAACGTTTTGGTCAAGGCAACGGTTCAGTAGTGACTTTGGCATTTCCATCTTCTGCTTCTGTAACCGCTTAAGAGCCGGTAAGACGTGAGCTGCGTCTATCTGTCTACGGTAATAAAAGCTTTCGATGCTTTCAGCCTGAAACACAAAGAAAATAGCAATTTTAATCGGCTTTATAAAATCATAAGCTTGGCAGGAACAAGTGTCTTAACCAGAAATTGGACTTTCCTTGAAAGCTCCCGAGATTTTTTTTAGTTTCACCGTAAAGAACTCGTTTAACGCGAAGCTTGACAGATTCTGCACCGTTTATCGTACGCACGCGAGCTTTATTATTTACGGCTTCCAGCTTTCACGCGCGTACGTTTTCGATAATACAATGCGGACTCGTTTCGCATGAAACGTACGTACACAAAATTTTATCTAACTTTTCTGAGGGAATGCAAACATCGAACTCCAACTTAGACGCGTGTTACTGCTTAATTACAAATTAAAGCAACCACTTGTGTTTAAAATAAAATAAAACCTGAATAAAACCTGGCCATATCTATACTTCTATACTAATATTATAAAGAGGAAAGATTTGTTTGTTTGTTTGTTTCGAATAGGCTCCGAAACTACTGGACCGATTTGAAAAATTCTTTTTCCATTAGAAGCCGACATTGTCCCTGATGAACATAGGCTACTTTTTTTTATTTTTTTTTTGGTTTCATGTGTGTTTTAATGTTTCCGAAGCGAAGCGAGGGCGGGTCGCTAGTATTAAAATAAAATAAAATCTGAATAAAACCTGGCCACATTCTGGCCTGGCCATTTACTATATATTTATCTTTCTAAAAATTGTAATAAATGCTTATTGATCAGTTCAGTCTGGGTTTAAATAGAAGCAAGTGTCTTTATCGCAAGCATTGGAATAGCACTTACCGATAAGCAAACGCAATCGACTATCGCTACTGATGAAGTGCTACTAGATAGTTTTAATCTAGTGAATTGAATTTAACCATTCAATTCAAAAAAAACTTAACAGCAATTCTTCGTAAAATCTAACATTTTTATTGCTTAGATGTGTGGACGAGCTCACAGCCCACCTGGTGTTAAATGGTTACTGGAGTCCATAGACATCTACAGCGTAAATGCGCCACACACCTTGAGATATAAGTTCTAAGGTCTCAGTATAGTTGCAACGGCTGCCCCACCCTTTAAACCGAAACGCATTACTGCTTCACGGCAGAAATAGGCGGGGCGGTGGTACCTACTCACTCTTGTGAGTCCGCACGGGTCTCTAACCAAAATACTTTAGATAGAAGTTAAGAAAAAACGACAAAATTTAAGAATTCCTTGCGAAGTATGTGTGGCGATCTTGTATGGCGAGCCAAAGTCGGTGGCTATTATACCATTCAGGATACTTCTGCCGCCAAGTAGCGGCAAGCAGTCATGGTTTTTACTTTGCACGTAACGTAAATGGTGGCATCAAACTTATTTGATTGGACAATCAATGTGCTTCGATAATCACTTAGTATCAAGTGACATAACAGTAGTACATATGAGGCTGTAGTTTTAAATTAATTGCTATGAGTGAATGTCTCACCCTTAAAAGTGTAGAACCTCGAGCTATAGAGGCAAAATAAAGTAAACTCCTTGAAAATGCTTAAGCTATGTGTGCAATTTAATTAATCGAATAAAGAATTCTCGTAATCTCCTCTGCAAGCACCATTAGCGATGTTTCATTGAAACCGGTATACCCCTTAAAACTTTGCATCACGCTCACACCCCATCATGGACATTCGACGAACTTGCCAAACTCCCAAAGTTTGGGGGGTGTTCGTGCATTTGGCAAATGTTTCGGCCGCATGTCGGCAAGTCATCCCACATCAAAGCGGGCTAATCCCGGGAATTCGCGTTGCCTCGGCCGCGGAACGAATTTGTGACATTTCAAAATGTAGTCTAGGAAATTGAGTTTAATTGATTCGGACCGAGATCCTATCGATCAGCAGCCAGTCCGTTAAGAACGTAAACAGATTTCGAGGGGCTGATCGATTAGTAAGGATGTTGATAAAATGAGTTGAAATCTTAAGAATCATAGTTTATTTCAGTGTTTTTTTGTGTGTGTGTTTTTTTTTAAATTATGAATGTGAAACAAATTTGATTCACGTAAATCCCTCTTTTTCCCTGATATTTGATAGGTAAACTAATTCGCTGCCTGTTAATATCAAACGCCTATTAGACCCGAAAGTCATTACAGAGCTTATACCAGTTCTTTCAACATGAGACAGAAATTATAATTTTATTGTGTAACGGCTATTACAGCCTTCAAAGCCGAGTTCATGATTGTTTCGCTTTATATATAGAGAATTCAGTGATTCAGTGTATATCTTATTTGCTTATTACGACACACGCGTGAAGAATTTCTTTGGTTATGAATGGAGCAACAAATTTCTATTTATATATTTAAACTAGATAAATAAATAAATAAATAAATAAATAAATAAACTAAATAAATAAAAATAACTAAATTATGTAAGTTGCTTAAATGCTAAGCATGCTAAGCATGACTCTGCTTCT